GAAAGAAAGAAAGAAAAGAAAAGAATAAGTAGTGTCATGGGTGGAAGTTGCTAATTCGTTCTACTGAAGATCCTAGTTGAAGATGCTAGAAATAGAAAGTGCAAATAGGTATCAATACTGTACCTAGGGGCATATCATGGTATTTGCTTTTTTTAAACGCACGGAGAACCGGCGAGTGGTCTAGATCAGATGAATTTTAAATTGGAAAAATAATAGGGAAAAACAAAAAAAAAAAAAAAGCAAAATGAATATGGGACGAGCCGGGTTTGAACCGACGACCTCCTGATCACCCGGTAGGTGTTTATGATGAAGTTGAACTTCAGTCAGACGCGCTCCCAACTGCGCCATCGTCCCATTACATATTAATATGGCCAAGATTACAGTCTTATCAACACATTTTATATTATGTAACCCTTGCTATACTAGCATGGATATCGTAGTATAGATGAAAATTAGGCTGTAAGAGCAAATAGGAACAAAAATGCAGATTGCCCCCACATAGAAATCAGTAATATTGAATATTCGCGCACTAACTTAGAAGAGACTATGAGTTTGTTCGAGTGGCTGCATTGTTCCTCCCCCTCCCCTTTTAACTAAGGTTTGACCTTATAATAGTTAATCTATTGTCATTAATTACTAGTGGATCCTAGTTATTGTGGTAAGTCGTATCTAAGATAGTTAACTAGTCACAAAGTTCTTGGTCGGAGTGTAGCATAACTCTAGTTCAGATAACAGGTTGGCCAACTCCAACCTGTTTGCGGATTACAGCGACGAGGGTGATCTACATGTACCGAATTAACCTCTCAGTCTAGAGTGCTCACACTACGGATACTTTTTTTTTGACTAGACCCGTAGGAGTCCTATCAAGATTAATCCATCATTGCATTTGAGCCCCTTTTCAATAGTGATTCCTAGCAACTGAATGATCAGTCGGAAAGGATTTAGCGACTAAAATAGCGGCCCCATCACCAATTGCGTACAGGAAATGCAGCTTTAGATGCGGGACAAGCGCCTCTTTCATCCTTTACGAAATTTGAGAAACCTGCCAGCACCTCAGATGCTTTCTAACAAATCCTCTTCTGGGAAGGTACAATATGCATTGATGCGAAAGACATTAACATTACAAAATCCATATTCAGCAAAGACGGTTGCTGCCGTATTTAAAGGAAGGCTTTCCTTGGTGGTCAATGGCTGTGCCTCGTGCACTGAACGAGAGACAGACATCGTTCAAGATTAACGAGGCCATTAACAGGAGCGCCTTGTACAATAGTGACTGGAGATTTTGAGTTGATGGGATGGAAAATACGTGTAATTTCTCATGTCGAGGTTTATCTACGTAGCGTTGAAACCACAGCAGCGTCGAATGCGCTGTTATTGAAAGCGATCTTCTCTGAGCCTGCAAATACAGTGATTCTCTCTCTCTCTCTCTCTATATATATATATATATAATTATTTGTTCTGTATGTTATCTGTACTGTATATACTCTCTTAATTACAAATATCATCACATGGTGTATGCCCACTCGGCCTGTATATTTTCTCTATATTCTCTAGCCAGCAACTTAGCAACCAAGATCGTACTACTCGCCATTCTCTACCCCTCTTCATAGTCATATACTAGTAGTACGTCTAATGGTCTAGATTAAGATGCTCGTCCATCCATTACCAGCTGACGCCACACCATGGATCCTATTTCGCGCCGCCGTGCATAGCACTAACTGAGGCTACTTGCATGCATAAAAAGTTTTCGGAGATGCGCCATCACGGCAAAACTTTGATAATTATTTGCCTTTGGAGAAGGCATCCACACCGTTCATATCCCTCGGCAATTAGAGGCGGGCTATATAGTAAACGGAACATCTAAAACGTATGGGGGGAGGGGGTAATATTGTGATTACTATTTAGATAAAGGGATTAGTAGATATGTACAGTGCAGAGAAAATTTTATAGGCTTAGGTACTCTGGAATAGGACTGGGTACTCAAAGAAAACTACAGTCTCACCGTCATAAATACTCTTGTTAAAGGACTCATTGCGGCTGATAAATACAGTAGCCTGGCTGTTTTTAAGAGTAATAGGCCTGAACGTAATATTGTTTCGCATACCCTTTTATTTATGGGGCATCCACAAAAATTCCGAGCGGGCTTCTCCCTGGACAAAGATTGAGCAACGCACTGGAGGATATCGAAGATGGAATATACTGTCAATATACTTTTATTCAGGAGTTCATAACGATATAAAGTGAGATATGCTTGTAAAAGCAATCACTGAAGAGTATTATTTTTTTTTCCAATCATTCACTACGAGTTGCAGAGTAATTTTGAAACACAGAGTCTTAGTTGTGGTTCACAGGTTAAAAACAAGCAAAAACAGGTGATTTGATCTCGTTAAGAATACAGCCAATTGATTTATCTCAACAAGAATCTCAAGAGACAGCCATGATCTACCCTAATGTACGAGTCGTTCTGGTCTTATCTTGTACTATCCGTACAAACCAGTCTGCGGTATCCCACATGGAAGAAGCAGCTCATTCAGATCCAGGTTTGGGGCTGCTCACGTAGGTATCCGCTTCAGATTGATTCATATCCATCTGGATCTCACTCCAAATAGGGCTAGGCAATATATCATCCTCGCTATCCTCATACTCCGAGCCCTACAACTCACGACTTCTGGCCCTTCTCATAGCTTTTTCAGCTCGTAGACTAGCCTTTTCCTGTCGCTCCCTATATTCCTTGACACGCCGTTCGATTTCTCTCGAGAAAAACCGACAATATCCACATTCGAAGATGTTCCTACCTCCTTCTACTACAGCCTCACAGAAATCCCCACAAGATCGATAAACCACATATTGTTTGTTCTCCTTGTATGACAATGTGAGAGCCACAGCTATATTGGGTGGTGCCTTGACGAGCATTGACGCCGCAATCTACACAACATTGTTTACTTACATCAAAAGTAAACTTTGCTCTCATTTTAGATATCATTTTATCCGCAAATTTGGCCCTTGGACGCAGACGTAAACAATCTTGATATGCATACAAATCTTTCTGCAGACCAAACGCTCCCTCCATCCTCGAGGAGGAAAGAACTGAAGTATGGAGGAGACTTGGTACGTCGGGCATACTCTCTCATAGTTCAAGCCAGAAGAGGACGATGGAGATAATAACATCCCACCTGCACTAGACAATTATAGATGCGGGGATAGAACTGACGTCAATTCCCAAAATTTCCTTGGTGAGCTTGTGATAGTCTTGTCGTTTTTTGTTTTTGGAAGCATGAAGCAACAGCTTTACACTACTATTCATTATTCAAAATTCAATACTGCAATGCCCGATCCCATTAGCTTATCGAAATATACATTTCAGTGGGATAGGGAACGGAAAAAGGCAGGGAGATGCAAAAACAAAAGCCTATACCGCGAAAATTCGACGCTCGTAAGGCCGTTAATCTTGTTATGCATACTCTGCTCCAAATGAGCTATTTAATATTGCCTAGGAGTAGGCATTAGTTGAATAGAATACCTTTTCCAGAGATATGAGTGCTTCAATCATGGTTAAAGCGACTAAATTGCAAGCCAAACTATTCAGCATGACAGGTCGACAAGGATTAAGTTTCCAACCTGAAAGTGCCTTCCTCCCCGCTATACCTCTAATATATGAGTACTTAATTCTTGCTATGATTACTAGATAATGATTCTCGTTTGTTTGCTGGTGACGATAGGATAGAGTATATCTAACTGTATAGGAGCAGGGCTATAACCATGTTCTACAAAATATCAATGTTTTGAGCCTTGTGGCCCGCGCGGGCAATATAGTCGATTACACACAGGCTTTCCAGTCCCGCAGCCTATATAGAGAACCTGGGTCACTTTTGAATAAAATTTCCTAAAGATGGTATGTATAGCTTGTATATAGATTAGGGTTGTTGAGATAGATATCTTCCATCATCTTGACAGTCTAGCTTATCAAGAGTCTCTACACTGGTCTAACGTTGTAATGAAGAGGAAATTATTTGGGAAATAGTTAAGGAAACAAATGAGGGGTGTGTGCAATTGAATGAAGGCAATCCCCGGATTAACTGATTGAATTTAGGAGTTTTGTCTGCCTACATTGTTAAATTACCATTATTTCTGTGATCCAGACTCCTCCTATAAATAGGAGGCTCAAGTCTACGCCATGGCCCACAAGTACAATAGCCACTTCTTGGGTTTCTGATATGCCCCCAGTAAAGTTCTTCAGGCCGCTGCTATTTGAAGATCCCTAACTGGAGTGCATCGTTTTGTGCCGCTCGCTCCACCCTACCTTGGATATGAGACCCATATGCTGATAACACTGAATGCTGGATAGTAGTGTCAAATGCACATAGATGCCGGGATGCGCGCCCTCGGCTTTCGCATTTCATTTCCAGAATCATATATATATATATATATACACAATTGGATCATGGAAAAGCCCCCCAAAGCATAATGAAGATCATCGCGAGGCAAGTAGTAACTAGTACATGAAGTGAAGTGACTCATGGAATATATCTAAACGAATTTATCCAAACTCCCCAACAAATGAATATATATAAATAATACGTACTTTTTGCTGCGACAATTAAAAAGGACCAACCAACTAACTAAGCACGACTCTGCCCTGAACAAATTGGTAGAACATTTTAAAATGAAAAAAAGAACTTGCCCCCACGCGGGATTGAACCGCGGACCTCATCATGAACTCAACACCAGTGACATCGCTGCCTCAGGCTACGAGTGATGCGCTCGTACCACTGAGCTATAAGGGCCAGTTGCTGGAATTTTGGCATCTAAAATGGAATATGACGCACTTTTGAATAGAAACTCGGCACAAATAAAAGTCTCTCACAAGTTAAGCTCCATGTTACTAGAGGCCAACAATGCATGCCCAGATAAAAGATTGCATTAGAAATAATTATTGCTTTCTAGATAAATCTACAACCCATTAGGGTACTCTGATTAATTGCGATTCACGAGACACAGATTATGCCAGTTCAGTATCGGCCTGCCAACTCTTCTATTCACTTCTCAAATTCCCTTCGTGCGTCTCATTTCAGACCATATTCAGTTGGTTCTAACGACAATGCTCCTACTATCCACATATACCTGTTTAGGAATTATGTTATTAACAGAGATCCAAATTTCTGGCCGATATTTTTGAGAATAAAAATAGATTACTTTATATAATGCTGTACTATTCTTTCTAAAAAATATTAGTTTGGTATTCGGTATAATAGTAGGGCAGAAATTCCCATACTGATTAGATCAATTCAGCTGTTGATTAGTTTAATTAATTGTGAGAGTGATATTATTTCTGAAGATTTGGGAGTACAGTAATTGACCCTTACCTTCAGTCTAGAGACAGAGAAAGACTATAGAGATATCTATATCTACGTGTGCAATCCATTTGTTATACTGTTAACAGAGTGATCAGTTCTTGACAAGTGTTCGCAATCTCCTTGACCTATGCATGCTCTTCAGATAAGGTAGTGGTGCTGGATTTAAGTGCCTTTTGCAAGATGAAGGAAGCTAAAGCTTAGGCTCTTAAATGAGAATTGTTGGTGGGTGTCATGACTTTCACAAGGGCGCTAAGTCAGTCTGACAGAAACAAATTAGGCTACGGAGTATAGATGAGGGACAACGACACATTACTTTGATGGTCAAAAAAAGAAAAAGAAAATTGATTAGATAGTGGCAATTGTATTCCTGTGTCAGAAACAATAAAATATATTAAGAATGACCCGAACCCTACTTGCCAATGGCAACGAACAGCCTATCGCCGATATCACCTAGGCCTGGAACAATCATGCCTCGCTCATTGCATTTTTCGTCTACGGCCCCAGTCCAGAACTCTACTCCTCCAGGCCAAGAGTCTACCGCCCGACGAATGCCCGTCTCGGAGCCCAGAACACTAAGCATGACCACTCGCTTCACTCCCCAATCACGCAGAAGGTGAATTGCCGCTTCGGCAGTAGCTCCGGTGGCGACGATGGGGTCAAGGAGGATCGCGGTGTCAGCGGCGGCAGTGTTGGCGTCAGAACCGTCCTGGCGTTGGAAGGGAAGATTATTGTAGTATTCGACGGGTTGAAGGGTGAGCTTCTCGCGGAAGAGTCCTAAATGGTAGATAGGTACCGGGGCCGGAAGTAGGCTGTTGATTGCTACATTGTGGTGCGTAGAGTGAGAATTGAGACACCTAGAGCGAGTAGGAAAACATACCCTCAGTCATTCCCAGTCCGGATCGAAGAATAGGTACCATAGCAACATTGGCGGGCTCAATATCCTGGGTCTCATATTCGATACCTAACGGGGTTTGATCCTGGAAAGTGGATCAACATCGTTGACCTAATACGGTGCGGGGCGTTCAATTCTCACCGTTCCCCGCTTTGTGGCTTTCAATACTGTTGACAAGGCCTCCACACCTAGAATGGTCGTGATCTCATGGACAAGGCTCCTTGTTTCGCGGGTGGAAGTTTTGTGAGATCGTAGCTGGGATATCTTGGCTTTCAGGCACGGATGAGATGAAAGATGGACATTCGGGGGAAGGGACATGGTGACTAAGATTTTCTGTGGTATAGTATGATTCTAGAGGTAGTAGGAAAATAAGGAGATAAGGAAACGGGAGCTTGTGAGGGGGAAGAGACTGGAAAACAAGAAATATATACACATTCGAGAAATGAGGGGTCGGAGTGTGTCGTGTCACCTGCTCAGGTACTGGACGTACGGTATGCAACATGTACCTTGATGTCAGCGTCCCTTTCTTTCTCCGCTGAGAATTCCAAGTCTTTCTCTCTCTCTCTCTCTCTCTCTCTCTCTCTCTCTCTTACCGGCTCACTTCGTCTCTCCCTTCGAATTCCTGCTTTATCTCCACCTCTAGCCCCTCCCACTGTGGTTAATCGGGAACTGATAAGCTATCAATAAGTACTTATCAGCGGTCTATCAACATTGTTTTATCCACTAAGAAAGATACCCACCTATTACCATGACCCACTCTCTCCGCCCAATTTTCACCCTATCCAAACTGACTTTCACAGCTCCTCATTTTCCTCCCAAACACTCCCCTTCGCTATAGATATGTAGATTATATTACGCGCTGTCATTCACGATTCAATCTACAAGCACCATGTCTACGAGCGACACCAGCCAACTGCCTGAAACCCAAGCGCCACCTCCCACTACCGAGGAAGCTTCGCAACGCCAAGCCTGGTCATCTGAAGGATATGGCCTGTCTCCCACCAGTGACAAGCCTCAAAACGGCCCCGTTGAACCCACCTCCTCACAAAGGGAACCTGTCTCAAGCCCCGTCTCCAAACATGCTACGCAGCTTTTTACCCATTCATACCTGGTCTTCTTTGCCATTTTCGGCACTTTGGCACGTCTCGGTCTTCAAGCCCTGACCATTTACCCGGGAGCGCCCGTGGTAACGGGCGTCCTCTGGGCCAACGTAGGAGGATCGCTACTAATGGGCTTCTTCCTCGAAGACAAGAACCTCTTCCGCGAAGAATGGGGTGCCATAAATCAAATCAATAACAATGGCACGGAAACCGACCCAAGCACCGAATCGAAACGTCACAAGGCTATTAAAAAGACAATCCCCTTGTACATCGGCCTAACGACCGGATTCTGCGGCTGCTTCACCTCCTTCTCGAGCTTCATCCGCGACATCTTCCTCGCACTATCCAACGACCTGTCGGACCCCTCAACCCCCAATGGCGGATACAGCTTTATGGCCCTGGTAGCTGTCATCCTGACCACAGTCGCGCTCAGCCTCAGCGCACTCATCTTTGGCGTCCATCTCGCCCTCGCTCTCGATCCCGTAACCCCATCCTTCCCCTTCCACTTCACGCGCCGATTCATAGACCCTCTCTTCCTCGTCCTTGGCTGGGGATGCTGGTTGGGCGCCATCTTTCTCGCAATATGGCCCCCGGACCGCCATGATAATAGACAAGAGTTCTGGCGTGGTCGCGCAGTGTTCGCTGTCGTTTTCGCACCGCTCGGTTGCTTCCTGCGTTACTATGTTTCTCTCATGTTGAATACCCGACTCCCCGCCTTCCCACTAGGCACCTTCACCGTGAACATCTTCGGAACTGTCATACTCGCCATGTGCTATGATCTGCAGCATGTTGAGGGTATCGGCGCCTCCTCGCTTGGCTCTGGGGCCAGTTCGTCTATTCTTACAAGCTGCCAGGTGCTCGCTGGTATCATGGATGGGTTCTGTGGTTCAACAACCACGATTAGTACATGGGTGGCTGAATTGAATGGGCTGAATCGTCGACGATATGCCTATTTCTACGGAATCGCCAGTATCGGGGTTGCGCTGGGGTTTTTCGTAATTATTACGGGCTCCTTGAGGTGGACGAGTGGGTTCATGGAACCCGTTTGTAAGTAATTTCTTCGGTGTAAGTGTATATGTAGACAAGTATAGGAAGATAAGAATAGATAATAGCCTAATGATATAACAAAGGCTACCATAAACTAATTCTACTACTACTGACATACTGTTTGATGTATACTACAACAGAACAATTAAACTCCCCGCTCAAATAAATTGTATTTTGTGCTAGAATTACTTATAGTACAGGGTACTACAACGCAAAACCATGTGCAAGCAAACAAAAAATAATACCAAATAAACATTGTAAGGATGAACAATGAACAATCTTCAAGAACAGAATATCAAAGCATGACAAACATTGCGTCAAACCAAAAAGAAGACAGAAAAACAAAAACCATCAAGAACATGAGGGGTGAGATGGAACGCAAGCATAGACGGCGGGGACGGCATAGACACATAAACTCAGAACGATTCTAACTGACATACATTAAGGCAAAAGCTCAAAGGAGGTAAAAAAAAAAAGATAATAAAGCAAAGTATATGAGAAAGAAGGACTTGAAGAGAAGCTTTAAAGTGGTAAGATGAATATATAACGGACAAGGTATCAAATGATCAGGGGACAAATCGACTGGCAAATTGACCAAACACGCTGATGCGTAGAAGAGAAGCACTAAGGATTAAGAGTGTAATGATGAGTATCAAGAAAACAACAACTCCACCGAGTGCTAAAGTGAAGAACACACAGGACCAGCCGGGTGTCGAGATGTTGCCTTGGGAAACTGCCCGTAAAAACAAAAAAATGACCACACCGGACTCCCATGAGCTCTTGCAAAAAACCAACAGGAACGACCATAAATGACGCAAGGAAAGACGTAACAGAACGAGAAATGATGAACAAACGTCAGTCAGGAGACACCAGCAAGAAGCATTATGCGGCGGTTCAGATCATAGCATTCCATAACCGGAAATCAAACTTCGCCGCCCACCTACTTGCTCCTCCATCCCGACCCTAAAAATCCGAGATTCCGCCAGTGTCCAAATGCCCAAGAAATGAGAGGAATAAATAGCGAAAATGTTCAATGATAAATGGGACCCGAGTCGGAGTGAGACACTAAAAGTGAAGCTCAACCCCGAGGGCCGAAAAGAGCATAACAGCGATATAAGAATTAAATTAGCGTGGAACTTCGAAGCCGACGTACTTATCGCCTAGTACGCCGTGCCCACACTGGCCAGTGTCTTCGTTGGCATTGGGTGAATAGGTTGGTCCTTGGCGACGCGTAAAGAGTCTTCGTAGCCAATCAAGGCCTGCGAGTGAAGTTTGAACGATTCGCCCATGAGCTTGGTAATTCTGAGGCGTTGTTAGTCACTTGGCATCCTGATACTACTTGTTGAACAGATTGAAACTTACCCCCATACTACCACACCGTCCAGGATGTT